TAGTAAGTTTCCATTGCTAAATTGCTAGATCTTTTAGTAAGTGACTTGCTAGTTCTAGAACTGTACTGAAAAAGTGGGGAAAAAAGGATTCACTTAGCAGATCCCAAATTCATTACGACGCTTAATTTTTTGTTAATTGTTCAACAGGATTGTCAAAACTCATTGCTTCAATCATGCAGGAAATTTAGACATCCCAAACAAAACCCCCGTAGGCCTTCAATGAAAATACCCCAGAAGAAAACACTATCCTAAAATAACTGCAAAAGGTATGCAACGGTCTTCTACACATATTTAACATTTCTCTCATTCCTAATACACCACCTGTACATCTGCCCAAACAATCAGGATCATTAAATCTTTCACACAAAGTATCATACAACCTTCTCCGTTATTCTCTTGCACTATGACGATGTAGAAAACATCATGAGTTTCATTATGTTTAGTGCATATAATTAGGCCTCCTAACCTGCAAGCAAATATCCAGCCTTTGAAGAGCCATTGACCATGTGTTATAGATATCATATTTCTTTTCACAGTTTGAAAAGTTAAAAACTAACAGTAGTTTCTTTTTGCCAACTATAGTAGGAACTTTACTCAAATATTTTGATATTCTCCATTCAACTTGACTTAAACTTCAAAGCTGACTTAAATAAATATAAGGCTTCTCTGATTGCCAATGTATAACTCTTAATCTTTTGTCATGGGAAGAATGAAACTTTACAATAAAGAAAGTCATATTTTTAACTGGAGGAAGTAAAGCTAAAGCATCTTACGCCACTTTCTCTGGTACATCCTTTATTGAAAAAAGTGGTGGCACTAATATCATCAAATCCTCTTGATCAACATCAATGAGTCCACCCTTCTCTTCAAGTAGAATAAACAAGAAAGGGAAGTTAGATAAATCAAGAACAATTTCCGTCCAGTGCAATAGCTCACAATAATGAAAGAAGACTAACCAAACTGTGGTTCCACTTCAGCCCACTTTCTCTTCCTTCTTCGGGCAACATCAGCATGCACGGCAAGAACATGCTGGTAATCCACCATTCCTTTAGGAAACAAAACACATGTGGGTACAAAATACAACTGGGCTGCAGGAATAATGGGAAAGGTAGTAGAAAACCTCCACCAAATAATATAACATAGACCCATCTGACCATTAAAATTATAAGCCTCTGAAACTCGAGCAACAATATCTGCAGAAAGCTCCTGTCGTACTTGTCCAGGTAGACGGACTTCAAGTTCTGCAGAGGCAGCACTGGATTCACATTCGGGTTCATTGATTTGCTGTAGAGCTTCTGATAAGTTATCACTGGAAATATTTGGCTCAAAATTAATTCGATCTGTTGAATGTTCAGATACTCCACTGCTGTACTCTGTTGTTTGGAGGTTTCTACATTTCTTTTTAGAAATCTTCAACAAAAAATTATTACAGGGCCGAAGTTCGCCAAAGGCCGGGTGTGAATATGGATCTCCAGGACGAAAATATAGCTCCATTTTGTTTGACTGCTGTGTACGAACCTGTAAGGTCAAGTGCGTCAGTTGCATGGCAAGAGCTTATGGAACAATCACTATCCACATAAGCGGTCTGCTTGTCCTTCCTAGATGAAGGTAGAAAAAAAAGTAACCAAATCATGAAAGAGAAAGAAGTTGATGAAGAAGAAATAAAAATTTGGAAAAGAAATTGTAGGAAGAATAATTTCAAAAATACTTGATTTTTTTTTATTTGTAGTGTTATTTACTTAAAATCCATAGCATAAAACTAAAAAGAGAAAAAAAAA